TTTTTTGTTGAAGCTAAAAACCTTCTATCTTCTGCTGCTATTAGTGTTAAGTTACACTTGAAAATCACATTAATTCTGCTTTTAATGTCTTTAACTAGCGATTCTTTTGCTCGTTTGTTTATATATATTTTTCAATGTTTGTCAGTTGTTCACCCGACAAATGGCTTAACACCATTCCTACATTACTCTATACAGTGATGTTAGGTTGGGATTTGTTTTGTTCTTTTTCTGTTTATTTTTTCTCATAATTACGTCAGATTTTGAAATTCAGATTTGATTTTTTAACTGTATTAATGTACCATGTTTTTGTTTTGAAATACTACTAATCATCTATTAACCACATTTGATAATAATAATGAAGAAACATCCAGAAATTGTCTATTCAACTGCAATGCTCTCTTTCAGACGAAACATCGCTTTAGTACGTAACGTTTTCTCAAAGATATCGATGACATTTCTTCCTAGAAATTGTAAGGTTTACGGTTTTATTTATCTAGGAATCGAAAAGATGTTAACCTAAGCCGGGACTGTGCAGCTCTGCTTTACTTGTTTCTTATTAAATGATGCTTCTTTAATCAGTAGTTTTCATTGCATAATAAATGGGAAATCCAATCATTTACTTAGATTATGCCGCGTAGGGATAAATATACTCGAGGTCGTATCGCAAAACTGCGACGTCGAACAGTCACACTGGTTAATCTTCGATATGCAACAGGTTAACACTCTCATATTTCTATGGCTACTATTGCGTTTAAATTATTTATTTTTTTAGTCAAGTCAAATACAGAAAATGTCACATCAATGAACGTAGTAAGAGATTTCGAGATTGCTGAGCGTGATGGTAAGATTTTAATGCTAATGCAATATCCATTGATTTTCGTTCACATTTCGGATTGATTTTTAGCTACATTTGAAATGGCACTTCAAGATGATATTCCGAGTCAATTAAACTCATCTAGTGAGCTGTCGGATTCCGGAATGCAAGTTATAAACAATATTCGAGATGATCTTAACGATGGTAGAGGCATTCTTTGTTACATTATTGCATTCACTCTATTGTCTGCTTTATTTAGGGCTTTTACACAGTGTCATTCCTGGCAAAAAGGACTGGGCGGCTTTATTGATGATATTTAAAGCAACATGTGGACAAACAAATGCAAATATCAACAGAATATGTAAACTTCTTCAATTAAAACAGTGTCCATTTTATGTCAATGTTCCAAAAAGCTGGTCTGTCTTGAAGTAAGCTACATTTACGCCGATTTTGCTGTTCATGAGACAAGAAAAAGTTACAATATCATTCTTTCTGTATGTAGATATACATTATCGAATTCAAGAAAACCAGCTTATTAAGCATATTATTACTGTTCAATATGTAATAAAGCGGATCTCAACAAACGCTGCTTCTGTGGGAACAGTTCAATGACCACATTTTCTTATTCATCGGTGCGAAATCAAGTGCAGCAAATATTGCTGTATCGTGATACATATAAGAAAATCTGTGAAAATCGTGATCAAGTGACTATTAAACACTGTGGCACTCGATATGCACAAATAATTGATGATTGTCCGCAATCAAGCGCAACTTTGACAGTTAATTCGGATGGAATTGAATTACTGAAAGGTACCTAACACAAGAAATCGTATTTTGACCAAAACTTAGCAACTTCACGTTTTATACAGTGCAATTCGAGACCATTCAGCAGAAATAAGCTGCCTCTTCTAGCTGTTTTATTCATTTTTTTATACACAAAGAATTAATACCAGCTTTCCTTAACAAGTTATACGTGTGGTTCAGAGCGATACGTACTAATCTTTCG